CTGGCGTCGGTTTGGGAAGCGTTGGTGAGGTGCACTCAGTTAAGGCAGGCACCGCGCCCGCTCCTAGGGATTGCAGCCGCAGTGTGGGTAAGTGAAAGAATCACAGACCACTGTGGTTCGTGCCGGTCTTCAATTATAATCCAGGAGTGTTCACAGTGGAGGTCGAGGGCAATGTGGAAATCCCCACGATGTCAGCTCAGATTGTGAGGTTCACGGGCAATGCTGCAGCTCACCACAGAGGGTTCATCCTTGGTAGCTAGTGGAATTGCTGCGCCGCTGTCGGCCATTTTGGTGAGGCCGCATTGCAGTTTTTGCTTTAGGCGTTGATCTGCTCAGTTGGGCTGCATAGGTGGTAACTGGCCTGGTGGGGACCGGGATAACCCCCGCCGGTCCATAGGGGGGGGGTGAACGGGGCCGGGGGGTCTCCAAGCACGCTGTAGTTTAGTATCAGCCGGGGCAGAAAGCGAGGCAGCGGCCGTCCGCCCCACTCCCCTCCCGGGTAGGCCTCAGTCCCCACGTCCCAGAGCATCTCACCAGGACCCAGATTAACCCGAGATTGGGTGCTCCAGCTGCACCGGGACACTCCAGGACCTTTACTACGGACTTCCAGGGTGTTGCAAGCAGGGTAAGGTGAGTTTTCACCAAAAATTTGCTGTATTCCTCAGGAGCCATAGTGACTTGCAGCCTGCTAGCATGGCCGCCCGGCCCCGCCCCCCACATTCAGCACTTTTCTAACAAAAAAGTTCACCAAATTACCCATACAAGTTGAGCACTCACTATAATTTTGTATGCAAATAGAAGCACAGCATCACCAGAAAACTGCTAACTGTTTAAGATTTGACTGCAGTTTTACAAGGTGTCATGGATAAATACGCTAGTGCCATGCACTTAGGTTACAGAGAAAGAGTACTATTAGTCCTGGAAGCAGGCGGTCCACAAAAGATTTAAAGAGGGACAAGTCTCCCTTTAAAAGGTATAATGTATGTCACTTAGACATAAAGTGAGCCTAAACGTGAATATTTATTGCACCCCTGTGTTCTCATTTTGTAGTTGGCAGTCCCCTTATATATATAATTATATATACTGCCTTGAAGCATGCAACATGACACTGGAGTCCATTTTGAGGAGTAGGGAGGCCGAGCTATCTGCATATGTAGAACCTAACAAAGAACCAGGTACTCTGAAGAAGTCATATCAGTATCTCTGCTGAAGATCTCCATATGTATTACACTATGAATAAACCATCAAAGGTTAAGAACCTTGAGAAAATATTGAGAAAAGTAAAATATGCAGATAAGAAAATACAAAAGATAAGGGGGAAAAAACACTTAAACACAAACCATTGTGAGTGTTGGAAAAAAATCCCACACAAAGGTATAATTACCTTAAGCATCTGCACAAAACATATGCTAATTAACCCAGTCACAAATTGAACAAAAACAGTTTGGCAAACACTGACAAGAGTTATCTCAAAATAGCACAAACTTAAGGAATTCTAAATACTCAGAAAAGTGAAAGCAAAAAGTAAAATATGAATATTAATAGTTTTGAAGCTGATTAAATGTATTTCTTTTTCATGGATGTGTGTTGACTATGAGGTAATAGCATATTCAAAGGTAGCAAAAAAAGAAGTACACTAGAACAAACTAACCATCGCCGGAACTGAGCAATACAAAGATGGCTGCCTCCAGCCTATTATGGTAATTAATGTGAAAACATTTCAAAGTCGCCATATTAGTCGCCATATATTCAAAGCAAGTTGAAGAAATAACACCTTAAGCCTGCTATCTCTGAGCATTGATACTGATCTGCAGGGCTGCCATCAGAAATTTTGGGGCCCCTGACACAGCTCAAGGTCTGGGCCCCCCCCCGGTGCCTGCACCCGAGTCCGCCCAAAGTGCTGCATTATGAATGCTTTCCTATGAGACCGGCTGAATGCGCATGCGCAGCGAGAGGAGGAGGATCAGAGGCGGAGTGCTCCCCGCCCGGCGCTGGAAAAAGGTAAGTTCTAACCCCTTTCCTCTCCCCAGAGCCGGGCGGGAGGTGGACCCTGAAGGTGGGGGCACCCTCAGGGCACTATAGTGGTCCTTTAACTAACGCCAGTGCTGCAGTGCCACCGTGTTTACATTAAAAGGCCTGCAGGGACAGGCTAGACACCAGAACCACTACATTAAGCTGCAGTGGTTCTGGGGACTATAGTGTCCCTTTAATGTGAGGTAAATTAGAGATTAGTGCCACGAATAATATACTAGATTGCCTACTTACAACCAGATGAGGATGATGATGGGATCTAGCTGCCGTCTGGCTCCACTGGTCTGGTGTAGAACAGGCTCTCTGGAGGAGGTTTGTAACTGTGGTCACAAAAATCAATGTTCTGGGAGAACAGGAAGCAGCTCCATTTTTTTGAGGGCCCTTTACACAGCTCAAGGTCTAGGTCCCAGGGTCCACCTTCATGTTCCACCAATGAGTTTGTTCACAGGGGGTGAGCCTAAACGTGGGGGTGGAGTGTGTGTGTGGGGGATGTTCTGATGTGTGTAAGGAATGCATTGTGTGAATTTGTGTTTGTATGTGTAAGGGCTGCAAGGTGAGTTTGTGTATGTATGGGATGCAGTGTGTGCGTCTGTAAGGGATGCATTGCTTGTGTATGTGTGTCTGTGTGTAATGCATTGTGTGTTTTTCTGTGTGCAAGGGGTGCATTGTGTGTGTGTGTGTGATGGATGTCAATCTCTCCCCCCTCCCTCTCAATTTCCTTCTCCCCCCCTCTCCAATTTCCTTCTCCCCCCTTCCTTTCCAATTCCTTCTCCCCCTCCCTCTCCAATCCCTCTCCAGTTTCCTTCTTCCCTCCTCCCTCTCCAATTTCCTTCTTCCCCCCTCCAATTTCCTTCTTCTCCCTCTCTCCCCCTCCCTCTCCAACTTCCTTCTTCTCCCCCTCTCAATTTCCTTCTCCCCTCCTCTCCAACTTCCTTCTTCTACCCCCCTCTCAATTTCCTTCTTCTCCCCTCAATTCCTTCTCTCCCCCCCCTCCCCTCAAATTTCCTTCCTCCTCCCCCTCCCTCAAATTCCTTCCTCTCCCCCCTCCCTCCAATTTCCTTCCTCTCCCCTCCTCAATTTCCTTCCTCTCCCCTTCCCTCAGTTTCCTTCCTCTCCCCCTCCCTCAATTTCCTTCCTCTCCCCCCTCCCTCAAATTTCTTCCTCTTCCCCTCCCCTCAAATTTTTCTTCCTCTCCCCCTCCATCAAATTTCCTTCTCTCCCCCCTCTCCTCCAATTTCCTTCCTCCTCCTCACCCCCCTCCTCCAATTTCCTTCCTCCTCCTCACCCCCCTCCCGCCAATTTCCTTCCACTCCCCTCCCCTCAAATTTCTTTCCTCCCCTTCGCTTAAATTTCCTCCTCTCCCCCAAATTTCCTTCCTCTCCTCACCCCTCCTCCTCAATTTCCTTCCTCTCCACCCCCTCCCTCAAATTTCTTCCTCTCCCCCCTCCAATTTCCTTCCTCTCCCCCCCCTCAATTTCCTTCCTCTCCCCCCCCTCCGTCTTCCTCTCCCCTCCCTCCAAATTTCTTTCCTCCCCCTCCAATTTCCTTCCTCTCCCCCCCTCAAATTTCCTTCCTCTCCTCCCCTCAATTTCCTTCCTCTCCCCTCCTCAATTTCCTTCCTCCCCCCCCCTCCAATTTCCTTCCTCTCCTCCCCCCTCCGGTCCTGCGGGCGGGCGGGTGGGCGAGGGAGCACTCTCCCTGGCTGAGTGCTTCCTCTTCAGCTCCCTCGCGCGCTGCGTACTGATGCCGGCGCCGGAAGATGACGTCATCTTCCGGCTCCGGCATCAGTACGGCACGTGAGGGAGCTGAAGACGAAGCACACAGAGGAGAGTGCTCCCTCGCGCGCCCGCCGGGTGTCAGCAGGGCCAGCCTCTGGGGGGCCCTGAGGTGACCGGCTGCTGGGCCCCCCAGGAGAAGAGGCTGGCCCAGTGGATACATACCGGGTCGCAGGGCCCCCTGCGACCTGGTATGTACACCACTGAATGTGGGGCCCGGACGACCTGAGCAGTCCGGGCACCCCAGGACCGCCGGGCCCATGACAACCATTACGGTTGTCATGCCCTGATGGGGGCCCTGCTGATCTGTACCACAGTAGTGACATTTTTATTTTGCTACTAGCTATTTTAAATCAATGGCATAAAACTATTGCAAGTTCCTTTTACTTCTAAATAGACATGATGTAAAAATGAGAAACTGACATTTGTCCTTTATTTTTATGGCATGGAAATAACAGATTTCAAGATTTTAAGTCTTCAAGCAGGATCATGCTCAGTTCTGCCACAGTATTATTTTAAATGTATGCTATTAAAATAAATGTATATTGTGAAATAATTAATTTTTATTGCCGTTAGAACTGTGCGTTATTTAATTTTTCACTTTTGACAAATTGATATTCTTCTATTGATCTTGCAACCTGTTATAATTTTACTGTTTGATGATGGGTGCTTTATTTATTTTTTGTTTATTTAAAAAAAAGTTGTAAGAAAAAAATAATCAAGTATTTCACCCCTTAAGGACACAGCTTCAGTTTACTTGTTTTGTACTTCAGAACACATTTTTGGCATTTTTATTATGTGTGTGTTGATCCACAAGTTCCATCTTCTTAATTTTTTTGCAATTAATTCATTTTTTTAAATAGACAAAAATGACTTTATTTTATGTGATATATACATATAAAATGTATCGTTTATTTTACAAAAATACAAAAAAATGAAAAAAAATGGTATCACACTTTTGACAAAAAATAACTGTGTACATAATTAGTGCAGCTTAAGAAAAATTATTTGAAATAAATCAATTAGTTCTGATTTACAGTCTACATCATATGTCTAGAATTTCAATTTAATTTTGGTAGTTACTGATCATGGAACGATTATAGAATTTTGAATGTGTATCTTCTAAATTTAATAGTCATCACAGAAAATAAAATTGCAACACAAAAGTATATATTTATATAAAGTAGATATCACAGCCTCTATACCTAGGGTATTTTGACACTTTTTACATATCTATTTAGCCCCTTAGTGACCAGACCATTTTTCAATTTTCTTACCGTTAAGGACCAGGGCTCTTTTTACATTTTTTGCGGTGTTTATGTTTAGCTGTAATTTTTATCTTACTCATTTACCGTACCCACACATATTATATAACGTTTTTTTGTCATTAAATGGTCTTTCTAAAGATCATATAACTTACTATAAAAAAATTATAAAATATGATGAAAAAATATTAAAAAAACACACTTTATCGAACTTTGACCCCCAAAATCTGTTGCGCATCTACAACCACCAAAAAACACCCATGCTATATAGATTCTAGATTTTGACCTAATCTGCCGCTGGGGAGGGGTGTCACTGATTGGCTACAGCGGTCAGCTGGCACTCTTAGCCAATCAGTAGCTTCCCATTCATAAAAAAGTAAAACATTTTTATGAACCGGGAACTAGCGATTGGCTTAGAGCGTCAACTGACCACTCTAGCCAATCTGTAGCACCCATGCCTGACGTCAGTCTGTACTTCCTGACACTTCGTTTCAGAAGCCGAATACCACTGAGCAACCTGGAAATCTGGAGCTGGAGGAAGCCTTTGGAGTTAAACCATTTGAATGCGGTTTAACCTCTTAAAGGAAAGAGAGCACCCAGGGGCTTCCTGGCATCATAGCATTTTCATTTAGATGAAGTTGTTATGGTGACTAGAATGTTCCTTTAATTTGCTTAACCCCTTAAGGACACATGATGGAAATATACAGTCATGATTCCCTTTTATTCCAGAAGTTGTGTCCTTAAGGGGTTAAATGAACACTATAGTGTCAGGAATATAAACATGTATTCCTGACACCATAGTTGTTAAAACGCAATTCACCCTGGCATTATGTGATAATGACTATGCTCCTCCCCTTCATGACACTGTCAAAAAGGGACCAAGCATGGATGTCATTACAATTATGCCCCCCCTGGAAAAATTCCTGCGGACGCCCATGATTCCGCGGTTTTCTTTTGTGCACAACAAAAAAGCGTTGTAGGTTGCAGTCTGCATTAAGTAGATTGCAACCTTTTTGTACCAGGCCTTTGTCTTCCGTATAATTAGGTAGGGCTGCAGCAGCTGATCTGCCAGATCAACCCCACCCGTATGCCGTTTATAGGCCTTGATGCACACTGGCTTCCTTGTACTCTCAGCTATGCCACGTACAGAGACCTCCAAAGTCCTCTCAGCGTGGATGGGGGTATGAAGGTACATATCCTTCTTGTTTCTGTACTTAACTGCCAAAAGCTCCTCTTGGCGCAGAGCTGAGGTCTCCTCCTTCGTAGCCGCGTGTGTGCAAGTTGTCCTGGGAAATCTGTGCAGTTCTTTTTTATTGTATCACAAGCTACTGTATTAAAACAATACAGTAGCTTGAACAAAGGGACACGTGTATAAAAATGATCTGTATACAAGTGGTACCCTTTGTTTATCAGGGGGAATATCAGGTCCCAGATAATTGTGCCACTGGTTCCCATATGTTCTGAGCAACCTGGAGGGTCAAGGTGGGTATCCTTTCCCTCGTACACCCGGAAGGCCTGAGTATACCCAGTCCCACTATCACAGAGCTTATACACCTTTACACCATACCTGGAGTGCTTGGAAGGAATATACTGCTTGAATCCCAGCCTTCCCTTATACTTCATCAGGGATTCATCCATGCATATATTCTGTAACGGATCACCTGGCACCCCGACTGGGTACCTCCGTTAAAGGATGCTCCTAGCGTTTCCTGAGGACTCCAAGCACTCTGGCAGACACCACAATCACCGAACCAGAGAAGCGTATACCTTCTCTCAAGCATATGAATGCTCTCAACAGCTGAATAGGCAAAAACCAAACGGATGGGTTTAGACTCCTAGCAGTCAAACTGGAACAGCATACAATAAATCCTTCCCCAATAATGAGACGACACTTTACTTTGAGGGTTAAGCAGGAACTCCTGTGCTGGCACACCCAGCCTGGTTTTTATTACAGCCTTTCACATACAGGACCGCCCACAGGGAGGTATAAAACAACCAATCACATATCAGTTACATCCCACATATTCCCTCCCCTTATCCTGAGAGGAAACTCAATTACACATACAGTTAAAACATACTTTCTACCCAACTTTCATAACTTTAAAACCATACATCACATTCACATAAAATTACATATTCACAATCAATCCATTCAGGGGAACAACATATTAAAAAATGGCATGAATCAGACCAGGGGTTCAAAAGTTAGTAAAAGTATCTTTTGGGCCCTGGCTGGCACATGGCTATCTGGCTCAAACAGGTTTTACAGAGCCCTCTATCCTGGAGACAATGGGGAAAGTAATCCAATTATCCAGGGATAGAGGCAGACTCCATTGAGCACATGGTTGCAAAAAGACATAAAACACTTTAAAATACATAAAGTCACCTTTTACACATAACACACAGACATTTCACATATCCCCAGATAGCTGGGATCTGAGCGCACAAAACTACCGAATAGCGCTCAGATCCTATTCACACAGTTCAATTGCCATGGAGCCGAAGTCTTTAACTACACGAATGGGCTCCATGGCATAGCTATCTGGGTTAACACATTCACATAAAGTCTGGTCCATAGTCCAAAGGCAAGAGGCGGGCAAGCAGCCCCCTCCAAGGACACGTGGCGAGGTCGGTTTCGCCACATTTCTCCCCTTTACCATCCAGACTAACAGGGTATCTGACCTCCTGCCGGTCAGTGCCCTGGTTAGTCCAGCAACCCACCCACGAAGCACAAACAGCAATACAGCCCACCCACAATAACTGGTTACTACACCTGGATAAAATAGCAACTTGTCCATGTCCAGGTGCCTCACCACGGCTGTGCGGGGGGCTGGTAGACTGCCTTGGTGGGTTGCTGAGTGGGCAGAGACCAGCGGTACTCTGCCCGGGTGCCAGCGCTACCACTGAAGTAGCCTGGTTGGAGCCTGGTTGTGGGAGGGGGAGACCGACTGTCTCCCCTCTGGATACACTGCTCTGTGGCTGGGGGACAGGACCGACCATCCCTACCCCTGGTGCTGCAAGTGCAGAGACTACGGTCCCATCTGCATAGTTGTGGGGCTTAACATCTCCCCTTGGTGGGTTAGGCTGCCGCTGGAGAGAGGGTGTAACAAGCTCCTCTCTCTGAACTGTAGACTGCCGCTGGGGAGAGGGGGTAACCTGCTCCTCTCCCTGACACTCTCTTTGCTGGTGGAGAGGGGGACCAACTGTCTCCCCTTTCAATATTTTGTCCTGCGGCTGGGGTGCAAGACAGACGGTCTCTGCTTCCTGGGGTACACACTGCCGCTGGGGAGGAAAGACGGCACCTTCTGCTCCCTGGGGTACACACTGCCGCTGGGGAGGAAGGACAGCACCTTCAGCTCCCTGGGGTACACACTGCCGCTGGGGAGGAAGGACGACACATTTGGCTCCCTGGGATACACACTGCCGCTGGGGAGGAAGGACGGCACCTTCTGCTCCCTGGGATACACACTGCTGCTGGGGAGGGAGGACGGCACCTTCTGCTCCCTGGGACACACACTGCCACTGGGGAGGAAGGACAGCACCTTCTGCTCCCTGGGGTACCTCCGTTAAAGGATGCTCCTAGCGTTTCCTGAGGACTCCAAGCACTCTGGCAGACACCACAATCACCGAACCAGAGAAGCGTATACCTTCTCTCAGGCATATGAATGCTCTCAACAGCTGAATAGGCAAAAACCATACGGATGGGTTTAGACTCCTAGCAGTCAAACTGGAACAGCATACAATAAATCCTTCCCCCAATAATGAGGCGACACTTCACTTTGAGGGTTAAGCAGGAACTCCCTGTGCTGCACATACAGTCTCTTTTATTACCCAATCCACATACAGGACCAGCCCACAGGGAGGTATAAAACAACCAATCACATATCAGTTACATCCCACATATTCCCTCCCCTTATCCTGAGAGGAAACTCAATTACACATACAGTTAAAACATACTTTCTACCCAACTTTCATAACTTTAAAACCATACATCACATTCACATAAAATTACATATTCACAATCAATCCATTCAGGGGAACAACATATTAAAAAATGGCATGAATCCGACCAGGGGTTCAAAAGTTAGTAAAAGTATCTTTTGGGCCCTGGCTGGCACATGGCTATCTGGCTCAAACAGGTTTTACAGAGCCCTCTATCCTGGAGACAATGGGGGAAAGTAATCCAATTATCCAGGGATAGAGGCAGACTCCATTGAGCACCTTCAGCTCCCTGGGGTACACACTGCCGCTGGGGAGGAAGGACGACACATTTGGCTCCCTGGGATACACACTGCCGCTGGGGAGGAAGGACGGCACCTTCTGCTCCCTGGGATACACACTGCTGCTGGGGAGGGAGGACGGCACCTTCTGCTCCCTGGGACACACACTGCCACTGGGGAGGAAGGACAGCACCTTCTGCTCCCTGGGGTACCTCCGTTAAAGGATGCTCCTAGCGTTTCCTGAGGACTCCAAGCACTCTGGCAGACACCACAATCACCGAACCAGAGAAGCGTATACCTTCTCTCAGGCATATGAATGCTCTCAACAGCTGAATAGGCAAAAAGCATACGGATGGGTTTAGACTCCTAGCAGTCAAACTGGAACAGCATACAATAAATCCTTCCCCAATAATGAGACGACACTTCACTTTGAGGGTTAAGCAGGAACTCCTGTGCTGGCACACCCAGCCTGGTTTTTATTACAGCCTTTCACATACAGGACCACCCACAGGGAGGTATAAAACAACCAATCACATATCAGTTACATCCCACATATTCCCTCCCCTTATCCTGAGAGGAAACTCAATTACACATACAGTTAAAACATACTTTCTACCCAACTTTCATAACTTTAAAACCATACATCACATTCACATAAAATTACATATTCACAATCAATCCATTCAGGGGAACAACATATTAAAAAATGGCATGAATCAGACCAGGGGTTCAAAAGTTAGTAAAAGTATCTTTTGGGCCCTGGCTGGCACATGGCTATCTGGCTCAAACAGGTTTTACAGAGCCCTCTATCCTGGAGACAATGGGGGAAAGTAATCCAATTATCCAGGGATAGAGGCAGACTCCATTGAGCACATAGTTGCAAAAAGACATAAAACACTTTAAAATACATAAAGTCACCTTTTACACATAACACACAGACATTTCACATATCCCCAGATAGCTGGGATCTGAGCGCACAAAACTACCGAATAGCGCTCAGATCCTATTCACACAGTTCAATTGCCATGGAGCCGAAGTCTTTAACTACACGAATGGGCTCCATGGCATAGCTATCTGGGTTAACACATTCACATAAAGTCTGGTCCATAGTCCAAATGTAAGAGGCGGGCAAGCAGCCCCCTCCAAGGACACGTGGCGAGGTCGGTTTCGCCACATATTCCTTCCAGGTTTATAAGCCTCTGGAAACCTAGCAGCGAAGTGGGTAATCAGGGGGCAGATTTTATACAGCCTGTCAAACTGGGGATGCTCCCTAGGGGGGCACAGGATGTTGTCGCTGAAGTGTATGAAATGTAGAATCATTTCATACCTCTTCCAAGACATACACTGGGAGTAAATGGGGGTAGAGCAGATGGGGCTACTGCTCCGGTAGGAGTGGATGGAGGGCTTCTTTATGATACCAATCAATATAGTCAATGCCCATAATTTTTTTAAATTCTCAGGCTTAGAAGCACGGAACTGAGTGGCATATAAATTAGTTTGGGCGACAATGTTCCCAATACATCATCACCCAGAAACACCTCCATAAACCGCTGAGGGCTAAATCCTGCGACATCCACATTGATGCCAGGAGTTGCAGTAAAGGGTGGGATGTCTGGCCTCTGACGATGAGGCACTACCCACTCCTCAGCAGTACTGCGAGCTGGAGCAACATGTCTCCTTCTGGCAGGGGGACTAGCAACCACAGATGATACATCATAACTAGATACATCACTAGCAGC